TTTTTTTTTGGATAGCAGGCCAGATTCACAATGAATGCTCAATAAATATTTATTGGATGAATGAATGTATAGTAAGTATTAGGAACACATTGGTTGCTATATGTTTCCCTTTCTCTAGATTTGTTTTTCTCTCCACTGTGTCCCAACTGGGGTCCCTCTCAGCTTTCAATCTAATCATCCTTTCCTTCTTTGTGGCCCCCTCCCAGCCATACTCTCCCACAGATGCGAGAAGCAGGAGCCTAGCCTGACCCTCAGTGACCTCTCTCCTCCTCTCTCTCTGAATGCAGGCTCAGAGGAGGAGCTTGAGGAGCTGTGTGAACAAGCCGTGTGAGATGTTCAGACCTGGCTCCAACCAAGACAGTGCTCTGGATGACTCAGGGCCCTACCAGGCAGAGTCCTGCTTCTGGGAGAAAAAAGGACCTCAGCAAACGCCCCTCTTTTTGCCATACTTCCTGAACCAGTGGAAGAGGAGTGGTTGTGGTGGGTGGCGGGAGGTGCTGTTTCCTGATCCCAGCTATGGGGTGATGGGTCCCCCCTTGTCTGCAGAACACATCCCACAGCAGCAAGTCTGAGTCCAGCCAGGCAACCAGCTACTGCCTGTGCACATGTATGGACTGGCTCCCTTGAAGAGTATGTTTTTTGAGGGCAGGAAGCCAGATATGGGAAGTCAGGATGTTACAAAGGTACTGCTTCCTCCCCCAGCTCCCCTAGGTCTCCATCATCCCAGGCCTCATGTTCGTGCCAGCAGTGGGTGCAGCTTGACTGCATGACCCTTTCTCACCCCCTTCTGCTGAGCCCTGGATGCCAGCCCTGGCCCTCCCTGGAAAGGCTGTTGTTGGGGGAACTGCATCAGGGACAACACCAGCTCTATCATTTTCCTTCTTTGAAAAAGGACGAGGAGCATTGGTGAGCCTGAGCCCTGAAAAGGGGGGTCTCTGCAGCTTCTCTAGGCAGTGCATCCCCTGGTGCATTAGGAGGATTTTTTCCCTCTTGTCCTTAAATTGTCAGATCCACTGTATTAAGTCAGAGGGAAGCCAGGGCATGACGTTCTGTTCCTGAGGTGGGTACAGCATCTTGAGGAACCTGGAATGAAGCCTTGGATCTTCAGACTCCCTGGTCACCCCTGCAGCTCCAGTTCCTCTGGAGGCTGCGGGTGGGGTTGGGGTAGGAAGGGAATGACTCTCCTTGGAGAGCTCCTGTCTCAAAGTCCCAAAGCACATGGACAGTAGAGGATTTCTGAAGAACTTCATGAACTTCATCCGGAAAGAAGGAGGATGGAAGGAAGGTAGAAAAGGCAGAATTACAGCTGAGCAAGAAGGATGAGAAGGAGCAGGGGAGAACAATGGAAAAACCAAGTGTGGCCCTTGGGTTTGGAGGGCGCAGAGGCCTAGCTCCCTAGTATAAGCCATACAGTTAGGGACCCACAGGGAGCAGGTGCATGTGAGAGTGGAATTGGAGCACGAAGTCTGGCCTGGGCAGCTGGTACCCGAGTGGGCAAGGACTGAGGGGTCTCCCTGGGGTGACATTCACTCCAGGGCAGGCTTGTCATTGCTGGCCCCTCAGGCATTATCCCATTTGGAATGTGAATGTGGGGGCATAGTGGGCACAGGGCCCCTACCTGGGAACTTTCTTTCCTCAGAGTCAGTGGGGAGACTAGCACCTAGGCACCCACATGGGTATTTATATCTGAACCAGACAGAAAGACGCTTGAATCAGGCACACGTTGAGAAATGTATTTATTTGCTAATATATTTATCCACAAATAATATCTGGTCTTCTGGTTTTGTTCTGTTAACAACTGTCATTCAGGGTAACAAATTCATCTCTTTCGACATCGACAGAAATAAATGATTTCTGATATCAGGGGCTAGGCTCTGATTTACAGAAGGATAGTGTGGAGTGGTGGGCTTGGCAATAGGCATGGCTTGGCATGGCCTGGTGAGACAAGAGGGAGAAAGCATGACTGGATTCTCTTCATGCTTCAGTTGTTAGCAATCTTTATTATTATTATTGTACTGTTTACTTCGCACTTTAATGTACAATGCTTCGGTGATTTATTTTGTGACCTTGGGCAAGTACTCTATCACTCAATTTTCCATCCATAAAATAAGCCTACTTCACAGAGTTGTTGTAGGCATCACATGAGATACCAGAGAGTGAAAACATATTCCAAAGTGGAAAGTTATTATTCCGTAATAGAGAACATCAAACCCTGGTCACAGAGCCCATGTGAACACAGCATGGCATGGGCAACAAGAGGTAGGCCTGGCCTTGGCCTTGAAGAAAACTCAGTTTCAGTTACAAGGCCTAGTTGGGAGGACAGAACACAAGGGCCTGAACCTATGTATTTGTATCCCAAAGTTCCAAATCCGATAAATACGAATGATTGTGGCTCTGCCTTTGCACAGACTATTGTGAGGATCAAAAGAATTCCACAAGGCCAGGAAAGGCCTTTGCTCTCTTCCTCCCAAAGCACATTTTCCCCTTCGGCTTCTCTGCTTGGTAGAGGAGGCAGTTGCCTGGCGCCCAGTTTTAACCAGAAAGCAAGGCATTAGCTCCCTATAGGGTAAAACGGAAAAAAAAAAAAAAAAAAAAAAAACAATTAAAGGACATCTAATTCCCTACAGATGTTCTGAAGCAAAGGAATTGTGTCCAAACGCTAAAAGCCCCACGAAGTATAACTTAATCAGGTGGAAAGGGTAAACGTATACAAAGAACTTTTAAAATAATTAAATACGCATTTTTTCCGCCGCCGGCCGCTCACAGGCCGGGATTCTTGTGAAGGGCAAATGGAAACCCTATAGCGCTCTCGCAGTTAGACACTAGCTGTGGGGCCGTGCCTGGGTTTGTTTTCGGTCTCTGCCGAGATAATCCAGAGGGAGACAGTGGACTCTCTGCCCTGCGCTTTTGAACCGGGAAGACAAAAAGAATCTCGGCTATCATCTCGGATCCTTGTAAGGGGACCGGAGGCCTGGTGCCAGCGGCTTACATCAAATGGCCCGCGCCGACGGGATCTCGCGCAGGCGCCAGCAGCGCCGCCAGCCCTCCCCCACAGGGTCCCGCCGACCGGCCCAAAGGCCGCCTCAGCCTCGCCCTCGCGCCGGCTCAGGTGGCGTGAGCGCGCGCTGGCCCAGGTGACTCCGGGCTGGCCCCGCCTCCCAGGAGGGAGAGACCATCTCCTAAGGCGGGGGGAGGAGGCGGGGCCGGCGGCCTCACACGCCGGAAGAGGAAGGCCGCGGCACGCAGCGCCAGAAGTGGTGGGCATTCTGGGTAATTCGCTGTTTACTTCCTGCGAGTGAGGAGGCTTTGGGAGAAGCTTTAGCTGCAGTTCTTCTTATCCGAGAAGATGGCCCTGGAGACGGTGCCGAAGGACCTGCGGCATCTGCGGGCTTGTTTGCTGTGTTCGCTGGTCAAGGTGTCTGTCGGGGACTTGGTTGTGGGAGCGCTGGGGGCCAGGCTGGGGGAAAGAGGATGACTGGAACGGGGCTGGGGGACGGTGAAGAGAAGAGTAAGGTCGAGGACCCCGGGAGGTGGCTGGGGAAGTGGGAAGCCGAAGAAGGCTGTTGTTTACGTTGCTAGGAACGCGTGCAGGTCTTGCAACCAAGGGCATAAAATCAAAACCAAATCCGTTGCCTTCGAGTTGATTCCGACTCATGGCGACCCTATAGGACAGAGTAGAACTGCCCATAGGCTTTCCAAGGAGCGGCTGGTGAATTCAAACTGCCGACGTTTTGGTTAGCAGCCGAGGTCTTAATCAGTGCGCCACCAGGGCTCCGCCAAGGGCATAGGCAGTCTTAAATACCTTTGAATCCTCAGCTCTTAGCGCCGGCCTAGCCGTTAACACACGTTCAGTGAACTTAATTGGAGGCGAAGGACACTGGGAGATCTGCAGCTGAGAGAGCAGTCAGAGAGGGTGCCTAACCCTGAGGAGACTAGGGTAGAGAATAAGTAGAACAGGATTGGGAACAAGAGAGGAAGGAGTGTGAGGGTGGAACTTAGGAATGGAGTTTTGGGAGTGGTGGGTAGAGGACCTAATGGGACAAAGCCAGCCCAGGTATCCAAGAGGTTAGCCAGGTGGAAATATTGAGAAAGCTGCCTTTCCTTTTAGACTCACTCGTGCTTACCTTTTCCTTTTTCTTTTCCTTCCAGACTATAGATCAGTTTGAATATGACGGCTGTGACAATTGTGATGCGTACCTACAAATGAAGGGTAACCGAGAGATGGTATATGATTGCACCAGCTCTTCCTTTGATGGGTAAGCCCCTTCAGATTCCTTCATTCCCTTCTGCATTGCCTTCCCCTCCCCTAACAAGTAAAGGTAGGGCAGGCTTTTGAGACCACAATCCTAGTTACTTTCTCACACTTCCGACTAGTCATCCGCTGTCCGATACAGTAGTCACATATGGTGTAAGTGTAAGCTGACACTTGAGATATGCTGTAAGTGTAAAAAGACTTAGCATAGCATAGACGAAAGAATGAAAAATGTCTTGGGTTTTTTGTTTTTTTTTTTTTTCCGTTTTCTGGTAATAATTGGGTGTTGAAATGGTAATATTTTGTGTTAAATATAATATTGACGTTGATTTTATCTTTTTTCTCTGCACTTTTTAAAGGCTACTAGAAAATTTAAAATGGCATATATTTTTTTCATTATATTTTTACTGGGCATTGCTTCACTTCACTGTCAGCTCCTTGATGATGGGGACTGTGTTTATCTTGTGCACCACTACCTAGCACAGGGCTTGAAAAGTGGTAGATGCTTAGTAAATGTTTGTTGAATGCATGAAGATCCTTTTTGAAAATGAAGAGAAGCTAAAGTACAGCAATGGTAGATTATTGCCCTAAAGCTGCTACTTTTAGATATTTCTAAGAGGCCCTATAAAAAAGTTTTTCTTGTGTGTGTGTGTGTGTGTGTGTGTGTGTGTGTGTTCCCCCCCTCCCCCCACCCCAAGACTATCGAGTGGGGAAAAGGGAAAATGAGAGAAACATAAGTGGCCAGGTCTCACTTCCTCAGGAAGGGAACTAGAGGGGCAGTATTCTCTGGGGGGTTAACTTGTTGTTGTCAAGTCGATTCTAACTCATAGTGACCTGTAGGACAGAGTGGAACTGCCCTGTAGGGTTTCTAAGGTTATAATCTTTACAGAAGCGGCCTGGTGGTACAGTGGTTAAGAACTTGGCTGCTGACCCAAAGGTTGGCAGTTTGAATCTACCAGCAGCTCCTTGGAAACCCTGTAGGGCAGTTCTACTATGTTCTGTAGGGTCACTATGAGTCGGAATCGACTTGATGGCAACAGGTTTGGTTTCAGGTTTTGGAATCCTTATGGAAGCAGACTGCCACATCTTTATCCTGCAGAGCAGCTGGTGGGTTTCGAACTGCCGACCTTTCAGTTAGCAGCTGAGAGCTTAACCACTGTGCCACCAGGGCTCCCCTCTTTGGAGGCAGGGGATACTATTAAGTTCTTTTACCTGGATGGGCTTGGGAACCTGTCAAGATTGATCTTCTTGAGGCCTGGGACTGCCTCTGTCTTGTTTACCAGTATATCCAGTGGCTGGCACGTAATAGTAATTAGCAAGTTACTATTAAATTAATTAAACTAAATAAATAGTAATAATAACTAATGATGGATGGATGGCTAGGTCATACAGCAAGTGTTTATGGAGCACGAAGAATCGTACGTTCATAGAAGATTAAAGATCTAGGCTAATTCTTTTATTTAAGAGCTAAGACATCTGTTCCTTCATGGTCCTGGAGCAGTTGTGACTTCTTCAGTCATGCAGTGAGTGGCAGGAGAAGTTAGAACTTAGATGTTAATAACAGTTGTTACTATATATAGCATTTGTCACTGGCAGGCACTGTGCTAAGTGGTTAACGTGCATTATCTAGTTTAATCTTCATAAAACCCCCATGCCAGTTGTATTATCATTATCCCCATTTTACTAGTGAGAAAACTGAGGTACAGAGAAGTTGCAGTTTGCTCAAGGTCACTTAACCTGAAAGTAGTTATAGCTGGGATTCATACCCAGGCAGCTGGATGCTAGAGGCCACACTCTAAATCACTCTACAGTGCTGCCTCCTATCTGTAGTTAAAGGACTATGTTAATTGCTATGAGAGATGTCAAGAGTTACACAATGAGATTCTTACTAGTAAGAGAGAAACAGTATAAAGATTTGCATATTGAGCTTTAAAAAGTGAACAAATCAAGTGCTAACGGAGATTGGAGGAGGGTTAGATGACCTCAGTCAGACGCGGAGGTAGCATATGAATCAGGATGTTTGAGGAGGTTAAGATGGGAGAGAAGTAGAAAGAACATTTCAAACCAAAGGGAGTGACTCAAGTGATATACTTGTGGCTAGGAGGATGGCCTGTGTACGTGCCTAGCTACATACAATGCAACGTATTGCTTTTATATGGCTTTTCTTGGTTTTGTAATTCCCACCAAATGACTGGATGGGATTATGCAAATGAGGTACTTGTGGCCCACCAAGGGGATTGGATAGTTTGCTAATAATGCAAATAAGGTGTATGACACCCTTGGGGGCTAGGGTGGGACCATGCAAATAAGGTGTATGGAACCCTAATGAGGGGATTGGTCAATTTTGCCATCCTATTGGGCTTAAAATGAGCCATCCCAGAGGTGGCGGGGGGTGTTACACTACCACCAAGAAGAAGAAATAGAATGGAGCGTGTCCTTTGGACCTGGGGTCCCTGCACTGAGAACCCCCTAGACCCAGGAGACAGAGAGAGAGAGCTGTAACACCAGAGATGATGCAAAATAGCAAGAAGCAGGGGCAGAGAAACAGCTACAGCAGAACCAGGAGACCGGCTCAAGACAGTGCACTGGGCTTCCTGGCGCATGGGGCTAGGTGGCTATAGTGGGTGTGCCAGCCTACGGAGCAAGAGAGCTTAGCGCCTTCGAGCTGAGGCTTACTGGTGGAGTAGGGTGCCCCGGGCACTTACTGGCAAAGCTGAAGAGCTTTGTAACACTTGCCCGAGAAGGGCAGAGGCCGGGGCCAAGGGGCTGAGGACCAGAGAGAGGCCTGCCTGTGGGCACAGCTGAGAAGAGGCTGTCCTGACCAAAGAACTATATTCTGAGTCCTTCCTGATTCGGAATTGTAACCTGTTTAAAAAACAAAAACAAACAAAAAAAAAACCATTGCCATCAAACCCATTGTCATTCCGACTCATAGTGACCCTATAGGACAGAGTAGAACAGCCCCACAGGAAGCAGACTTCCCCATCTTTCTTCCATGTACTTCCCTAATAAACCCCATAACTGTGAGTATAGTCTGTGAGTTCTTTGTGGCCATTGCAACAAATTATTGAACCCAGCAGAGAAGTACTGTCGTGTGAGGGATGGCTGGTGTCAGAACTGGTGAAAAGGCTGGGAGGGTGGAGGCTTGTCTGACCTCCGCTTCATAGGAATCAGCCTTGAGCTGTTGATGCTGATGGTGATTCTCCCCGCTTGTGAAGTTAGAGGAGGTCAGATGCCTCCACCATGCCATTTTTACGCTATCTCAGATTAGTCTGCAGGGCCAGGGGGCAGGTGTTACCCTATTTGCCACCCTTGGAGGTGGGGTCATTTTCACTCAAAGCACATGGCTGAGAATGTATGATTTGGGTGGGGAAGGGGGAGCTCCCCAAATAAGAATCAAGGATTGTTGGCAAGAGAAGAGGGAATGGATATTGAGCAGGCAATCAACAAGTGTCAGTGCCTAGACCAGAACTGACACAGCCAGTCAGCAAGCATTTGATTGAATGAATGAATGACAAAGACGACCTCTGTAGCTTCTGAAAGCACCTGGTGCTTACCTGTCTTACTCAGGTTGTGGACTTTTAGCCTTTGGGGAGCCTGTCTGTTGCCAATGCTCTGGGATCCAAGTTACCCTGGGAAGGACTATTAGCATAGTAAGAAGAGCTGATGTTTATTTAGCAGATACTGTGTACCAGGCCCTGTGCTGTTCTATCTCAACCTTTGAGTCTCATTGTTGAAATTCTGAGAGAGAACTTCGTATGTGCTTCAGGCTGCACAGCACATTAGAGGCAGAGCTTTCCAGTAGAGACTCAGTGATACTTGGCTTTTTTCCTAGGTTTCCTCTCCCAGAACTGTTGTGCTGGCTGGAAAGAGAGTGAAGAGGGCAGCTCCCTTGGGCTACCTCTTCTTTAGCAGGGGGAGGCTCAGGCTGACTCTCCGTTACTTTTCCCTTCCTAGAATCATCGCAATGATGAGTCCAGAGGACAGCTGGGTCTCCAAGTGGCAGCGAGTCAGTAAGTATCTCCTTTTCTTCTTATCCTGGCCTGGTTGTTGTTGATCCTCAGGTCCAGTGAGGGGATTCTTAATACGGCGGGGTGAGTAGCTTCAGCGTGGGAAACAGGAGGTTGTAGGAAAGACAAGGAAGCAGTGTTCTGTGCCCTTCCAAGAGAAGTGATTGCTCTTCTCTTGGAGTTGCAGCACTTTCATTTTTAGCTTAAGCTTCCATTGGGTTTTTAGTCTTAACCACTCTAACTGCAGTCTCCTTTCTTCTCTCTCAGGTAACTTTAAGCCAGGTGTCTATGCTGTGTCAGTCACTGGTCGCCTGCCTCAAGGTAATAATAATCATAATAACAGCCAATGTTTATCTGTTGTACCAACTACTGTAGGAGCCCTTTATCTGAATCAGTGCTAATCCTCACACTCTAAGGCTCTTCATTTTACAGAGGAGGGAACCAAGGCACAGAGAGGGTCAATAATTTGTCCAGGGTCACCCAGGTAGTAAGTGAGGAGCCAGAATTTGGACCCAGGCATTCTGGCTTCAGAATCCTTGCTTGTAATGACTGCAGTGTGTCCTCCTTTTTCTTCTCATTCCTACCAAGTTATTGTTTGCCCTGCACTTGCATAGATTTTGTTGGGGAAGAGGGGTTCCCCAAATAAGAACCCAGGATTGTTGCCAAGAGAAGAGGGAGTGGATGTTGAACAGGCAATCAGCAAGTATCAGTGCCTAGAACAGAACTGATGCAGGCAGCCAGCAATCTTCAGCGGTAACAAGCCAACCAAGGAGGACTATTGATGAGTGGTCTAGAAGCTCCAGTTTGCTTATAGCCCCCACCCCCCACCCCAAAGGTGGCAGCTGAGGAGCCTTTCTTATCCATCTGAATCTTCCCTCACAGAGCTGTTTCTTCTGCTGCCACAGGAATCGTGCGGGAGCTGAAGAGTCGAGGAGTGGCCTACAAATCCAGAGACACAGCTATAAAGACCTAGCAAGATGCAGGATTGCCAGCATCTTTGCATCCCGTCTCCTGCCTCTGCCTGTTTTTCTCGTGGAACTAAACAAGCAGAACTTCAAATCCTCCCAACCCTCCAACTCTGAGACTCAGCAGACTGTTAAAAGAGCAGCACAGCGGATCCTTGGACCGTTTTACCTTCTTTGGACTACTGGCAGAGGGGTAGGGGTTTGTGTTGATGGATTAACAGAGACTGAATTGAGGAGGGAGTAGGATGCTGGTTTTCCTACCCACAGCCCAGGCCTGCTCTTTTGCCCGTGGGCAGGACTCTGTGGATCGGATGTCAATAAACATGAGCCCCTCGGAACGTTCTTAAGCTGTGACACTTGCCTTGCTTCCCGCTCCCTTTCTCTTGCCTGGGCACAGAAGTCTCACTGCTTGCCCTGTAAGTACCCTCCCAGAGCAGCAGAGGTCTGCTCCCTGTTGCCAGTCTCTGAGCCCCAGGGTTGTAGCCTCTATTGTGCTTCCTTGGGTCTCATTGGAAGGTAGCTGTCCTGAGCTAGTAACCTCATCAGCCTGGTAGGCCTGGTGTCTAGCAGTTGTAACCTTTCTACCTTCTAGACCTGGCTGAGCAGGTGTCCCTTGAAGAAATCCTGAGGCTTTTTAGTGCCCTTTGTCCCTTGACCATGTCTATTCTTTTTCTCCTCAGCTTTCTTTTTACTTCTCTTCCTATACCTTAGCCAGCAGTAGCACCCATGGCCCTCCCCAGTTACCCCCATTTCCTAGTTCCCTAATTGGAGACCCTCAACCCTTAGTTGGATGCTGGGTCTTGGTCAGGTTTGTTCGTGTAGCAGCCTTAGGGAATGTCACATTATTGGCCAAGGTGAGTTACTTGTTCTGAAATAAAAAATTTGCTGTAATTTTTCATTTAAATTTCTACAAAATTCTCAGTATGCCCATTTTGATTTCTCTAAGTTTCTTGTTTTTCATCTGTAAAATGAGGATGATTACACCCTGCCCAGTTACCTCAGGGTTGTAATTATACAAATTAAGCAATGTGAAAATTCTTAAGTCACAAAAAGTAAAATTCATTTTTCTCTCCTTTTATATATATATATAGTCAACCAAAATAGTAGGGGGGAAATATGCCCGGAACCACAACAGCATGAGTTCTGACTCATTCGCAGAGGTCCCTGCACTAGGGCTTTTTTTCCACCTGGTGTTGCTAGTGAGTCGGTTTCTCTTGTTACCTGTGGCCCAGAGTGTGTGGGGAAGAGAGAGAAGCTGACTCTAGTGCCCCCTCACCTGCTTTCATGGGAAGGAAGCTGGGACTGGCCCAGGCTGCTAATACTGTTGCTCACGGGTCCTTCTCCAACCAGCACCATTTTCTCTGGTGCCTTTAAGCTCCGTTAACCCCAGTTTCAAACTGATTTTCTCAGCTCAGCAAACTCTGAAAGAGCTCCCTGTTGAAAACCAAAAAAAAAAAAAAACCAAACCCGTTGCCATCAAGTCAATTCTGTCATTTAGTGACACTATAGGACAGAGTAGAACTGCCCCATGGAGTTTCCAAGGAGCAGCTAGTGGATTCGAACTGCTGACCTTTATGATTAACAGCCAAGCTCTTAACCACTGTATGACCGGGGAGGCAGGTTTAAAGTCCACTCTGAAAGGAGCTTTGGGAAGCAGCCTCACCAGGCTGGAGCTTACATCCTGGAGGGAAGAAGTGAGTTTCAGCAAGAGTGCCTGAGCTCTCCAGCCAACACCCAACTTTCACTGGCCTGAAAAAATCCCTTGGAAAGCCCCAGCTGCTGTCCTGTGTGTCTGACCCGGGTGTGGCTGCTTGGTGAGAATGGAAACAGCTGCAGGGGGAGGGGAGGCAAGAGGCGCTGAGCACAAATAACCACACTGAGGCTGCTTTAGTCCTACACTGAGCTGGGGCTGTAACTGCCAGTCTCGCAGGAAGCGAAAGACAGGCACCACTGGTTATGGGGGAAGGGTGGCCTATTGCAGTGACATCTGGATTCCACAGACTCTGTGCCAAATGGGCATTACCTGGGAGCTGCTGAATTAGTTTGCCTTCTCTGGTCCTTGAACCTCCATGTGGTGGCTCTCAACAGCCCAGATAGAAGCAATGACAGTAAGAAGGTACAGAGTCCCATTCCTTAATGGGAGTCCAAAGAAGCTGAGGCAGAGACCATCGGTTCATGACTCCCTAGGAGTGAGTGGTGCTGTTGTGGGAGAGGGGTTCTTAGGTGCTGGTACTGCCCTGCATTAAGCAGCCATTGTGGGGCATGTTCTGCTCATTCTGCCTGTCAAAGGTTCAGCCCCATTTTATCTGCTGAGGTTCAGAATCTACCCAGGATCTTAACGGTTTCTTGCTCAGTAGTTTGGCTTCTCTCCTTCAGTGAAGAAAGGCTCCTCCTTAGTTCAATAAGGACAGATTCAAGTTAGAACAAAGCAGTGGCCCAGCTGCCTTCCCTTGCCTGCTTATTCCTCGTACTCCACTCCCCACTTGCCACATGCTGTGAGTCCAGAGCCTGTTTTTCCAAAGCTGGAGGTAAGAGCGTGTGAATGAATACAGTCTCTAGCCCAAGGCAGGGATTGGAAGCTGATAAGCCAGGGTCTGAATGTTCTGGGCTTAGAGGGTATCTTAGTTATCTAGCGTTGCTATAACAGAAATACCACAAATGGATGGCTTTAACAAATTCATTCTCTCACAGTCTAGGAGGCTGGAAGTCCAAGTTCAGGGCACCTGCTCCAGGGGAAGGCTTTCTCTGTTGGCTCTAGGGGCAGGTCCTTGTCATCAATCTTCCCCTGGGTCTAGGAGTTTCTCAGCACAGGGACCCCGGTTCCAAAGGACGTGCTCTGTTCCCAGCTCTTTCTTGGTGGTAGGAAGCCCCCACCACCACCTTATCTCTTGTAAGATAAAAGGTGATGCAGGCTATGCCCCAGGGAAAACTCCCCTTATATCGAATCAGAACTCTGACCTGAGTAAGGGTGTTGCATCCCACCCTAATCCTCTTTAACATAACCTAATCTTGCCTCATTAACCACAGGCAGAGATTAAGAGTTACAACACACGGTACAATTACATCAGATCACAAAATGGAGGACAACCATACGATACTGGGAATCATGGCCTAGATAAGTTGACACGTGTTTTGGGGGGACACAATCCATGACATTGGGGAGCAGTTTCTCCAAGAATATTGGAGATGGGCTGATGAAGATGCATCGTGAGTTCACCAGGTTTGGGGACTGAGGTCTTGCTCTTCTTGGCGTGGCTACTACCTTTTTCCTCCCAGCCTTCTCTACAATCTGCTACTCCTTCCTAAGCCTCCTTCCAGACACCTGCTCTGTGTCTATGTGTGTGACAGACAGGTAATGTTTAGGAACAGACTAAGGTCTTTGTCTAAAATTCCGGTTAATGTTTATCAGTAATGCCTTTCATTTAAGCAGCATTTTACAGTTGACAAAGGAGCTTTCACATCCATTATCTCATGTGATCCTCACAAAACCTCTGTGTCATAATTACCATCCCTATTTAGTGATGAAGAGACTGAGGTACAAAGAGTTAAAGTGTTTTGGCCACAATTAAGCAGCCCTAGCTCAAGAAGTACATTGCCCACACCCCACGGAGGGCTGCTGAACTGTCTCTGACAGTTATCTCCAAATGCAGCAGGTTTGCTCACTTTATGTACCCGTAAACCAGAAAACGTAAAACAGAACCATGAGCTTATTGTTGAGTGAAAGTTACATGTCTACGTTTTGTGAGCCCCACCAACCAGCCCACTCCCACCACCTGCATCTCTAGCCCTCAAGTCTAAAATTAGCTTAAGAAAGGGAGGCAGCAAATGGAAGCGGCCCAGGGAGGAGATCCTTGAGATTCACTCAAGGATCCCTGTGCAGAAGACTGGGAAACTGGTCCAGCCCTTCTCCAGTTTCCACCTCGCTGCATCTTCCATTCCACTCCAGCAGCTCTTTGACACCCACTCACATGTGCCCCCGGCTCCCAACTTTTTCATCTGCTTTTATCTTCCCTACCCCACCTCCATATTCCCCCTTACCCTTTCCGTCTGAGCCTTGTTATGACATCTTCATATCCCAGTGGAACACTGACACTCTACTTCTGTGTGTGATGAAAATACATGAATTTATCTAGGGGCGAGTCCCTGCCTCCATCACCCACTAGCCCTGTGACTTCCAAGTTACTTTATTTCTAAGTTCCGGCTCTATAAAATGCAATTTACAAAGCTGCGGTGTTAGACGTCAGGTCAATGGTTACTTGGGTGAAGGATGAGGGTGAAAGAGGGCATGAAGTGACCTACGGTGCTGGTTATATTCTGTTTCTTGATCTGGTTATGTGGGTTGGTTCACGTTCTGAAAATATATTGAGTTATACAATTATGATTTGTTCACTTTTATGTTTGTATGTTATACTTCAAATAAAACGTTTGCTTACAAATGCAGTTGGTGGTCCCTGCCGTAGGGTAGTTGTGAAAATCAAACACATTAATTTAGATAAAAGCATCTTAGTCTTCAAGGTGACATCTTTGCTTTTTAACACTTTAAAGAGATCTTTTGCAGCAGATTTGCCCGATGCAATATGTCATTTGATTTCTTGCCTGCTGCTTGGAAGAAGTACAGTCAGAACGCTCCTTAGAAGTGAGAATGGTGAGACTTTGTCTCTCGTACTTCGGACATGTTATCAGGAGGGACCAGTCTCTGGAGAAGGACATCATGCTTGGTAAAGTAGAGGGTCAGCGAAAAAGAGGAAGACCCTCAATGAGATGGATTGACACAGTGGCTGCAACAATGGGCTCAAACATAGCAACGATAGTGAGGATGGCGCAGGACCTGGGCAGTGTTTCGTTCTGTTGTACACAGGGTCACTATGGGTCAGAACTGACTCGAAGGCACCTAACAACAACAACAGATAAAAGCAATTTGAGAGCTGTAAACTACGAAGTATATGCAAGGGATTGTCATTATTATTACCCAAAGTTGTCCACCTCTAGATAAGTTACTGGTGTGTAGCAAGAATTTCATCCCTCTAGCATGGTTGGGCAGTAGACATTCCCGGTACATAAATACACCAAAATGGAACACTTCCCTTCAAGTACCAAGGTTTTTTATTTTCATCTCTTTCTCATTTGTTTGGTAAAATTTATGTATTATATACTTCCTTGCTATTTGGACGTAAGATTCGGAATGTAATTTAACTTCTAGTTGTTTCAAAGTCATTGTTCTAAACCTTCATTTCTGTATCTATTGTTCTAAACCTCCATTTTTGTATCATGTAGTGAAATGGTTTTGGGGCTATTTTTCTACCTCGTAGATTTCACGTCAGCCCATCAGCTGTCACTTCTGCTGCTCATGTGTGGCTGTCCCTCTTCCAGTCTTCTGAGCTAGGAAAACAGACAGCCACATTTATAAAAATTGCTGTAGCGTGAGTCAGTAAGGCTTAGATTCAAAAGAAAAGCACATGGCTGCCTGCTGAGCCTTGGAACTCAGAGGCCTTCACCTGTGGGAGGGTGAGGCGAGAGTGATGAGGCTGTAGGAAGAGTAAAGGCAGACCATAGAACACCAGGAATGGGAGAGTCACTTTACGGGTGAGAGGACTGAGCCCCAGAAAGTTTGGTGACAGTGGTCAGTCTGATCTCAGGGGGGTCACTGTGACTTTGTATGTCCTACAGTGCCTGGCTCAGGACCTTTTGCCTAAAGATGCTTGTTTCTCTCTGCCTTAGGATCCCAGGAAGCAGGAACTGAGGGCTCAGAAGGCTCTGCCTGTGCTGCTGACACAAAGATGGCAGATCCTCTGAGCGATATGATGGAAAACATCTTCCCTCTAAGCCTATGCACTGTCCCCATTCTCAACACTCCCTTTTAGGGTGGAGGGCGGACATTGTGGTGTCACAGACGGATGACCTGAAGCCTAAGGAGCTTTCCTTGGTGGTCCATCCCACAGCAGTGGGCTTCCCTGGGCAGATGGAGGCCTGGCCCTGTAAGAAGTCAAGGAGCTGGCAGGCCCATTTTGAGAGCTCCTATATGCTCCTATCTGCTGCTGCTGCTTCCTGCCTATGCCCCCTCCTTCCTGCAAACTCAACTCTTGTGCTATACAGACAGCTTGAAGGAAGGTAAGGAGCAGCTTCAGAGCCAGGCTAAGGGGACCCCAGCTTCTCTCTGGAATGGAATTCTTGTTCCTTCTCCCGCAAATCCAACAACTGCCACCCGTTTGACCCTTCCCCCATCCCGGAAAATACCTGGAAGGAAGTGAGCGCTCTGGGGCCACTAGCCGGAAGTGGGGGTTTAACTGTCACCTCATCCCTGGGGGCTTGAGTAGCAGAAGGCAGAGGGAGAACTGCAAGGCCATGCTTGGGAGGGAGAAGAAGAACACAGAGAGGAAGGGGTGGCAGCCATCACCCAGCCTTCCTCCTGGGCCTGTGGTCCAGGTATGGGC